AGAAAATGAAGGACACCGGTCCTCTTCTGTTGGTCAGCAGTCACGATGCCAGTCCAGGTTCAAGGGCAGGGGAAATAAACTCCACCCATTGGTGGAGCGGCATCACCTACTGGGAGGAGAGGAGCTGAAGGTGGCAGTCTTTGGAAGTCACCACACTGGTATTGTCCCTTTTAGAATCTCAAAGAATGAGGCACGAAGGGATCAGAAACCTCTCAGGACAAAGGGCAGAGGGTAAAGGTTGCCCAGTGATTGCTCTGTCCTGTCCCCTAATAATGTCCCCTCTATGTCTACCTGTCCACTCCCTACCTCTTTGTCATTTCGGGAGAGGGCTGTCATGTCGAGGCTGGGAGATGGCAAGTAGGGTGGTTTTGGCATATCAGATCTGTGACAGCCTCTCTCTCTCTGAATCAGGCACAGACTGGGACTTCCCTGGTTCCCATGACAAATTGATACCACGAGCCAAAGAAATCCCCCCAGACGCTAGCCACAATCTCTGGTCTTAACTTTCTTCAGGACCCAAGGGGACATAGCTGTAGGGTGGAACGGGTCTTGATCAGCCATCACTGTAACAAAGGAAATGATGGTGATAATATTGACAGTGGCAGGGCCAGCACCAAAAAAAAATAAATAAATAAAAAATGATGATAGTAATGAAAACTCCTTGGAGAGAATGGCTTTGGTGACAGTGATTGCCTTACTAATGGTGATGATAGTGAGGATGCTGGCATTGGTTGTGAAGGTGGTGCTGATGGTGGAGTGGAGGAGATGAGGGTTGGGTTGGACATGACAGCTCTGATCACTGGTGACTGGGGAGTAGGGTTCAATTAGGATACAATGGTGGAGGTAAAAATAGTGGCCAGAGTGCTGGTGATGACAGCTGCCATCTTATCTGGTGCCCCACAGAGACCCTGAAGACGCCCAGCTGCTGCCTGACCAGAGGTCTCGCCAGCCTGGCCCTTCCCCCCAAGAGGACATTGCCAACTTCCGGGTGCTGGTGAAGATCTTGCCGGTCATGGTGACCCTGGTGCCTTACTGGATGGTGTACTTCCAGGTAAGCACCCCTGCCCTTTTGCTTGGGGGAACTGGCTCCCTAGTCCCCTTACTGTCTCATCTTTCACCATAGAAGCCCAGGGCGTGCAGAAAGCGGGCAAGGGGTTCACAAAGTGAACTGCTGCTCTGTAGCAGCTGGTGTGGGCCTGGCACAATGCCATCTCAGTAGTCAAACTCCCTTGGGTGGCAGAGCACAAAGATCCCTGGAGACAGGGCTGAGGCCCAGTGATTTGAATGTCGCCCCATCTCTCTGGGCCTCAGTTCCCTCTTGTGGCTTTGGCAAAGGCTCTACCAGCTCCATAGCATTCAATATTCTCCAAACTTGGCAGCTGAGGCCCAGAGGTCTGCCAGTTGACCGAGGACCCATAGCAGTTAGGGGCACACTCAGTGTACTGAGTACTTCGTAACAGTCGTTCCCCACCCTGGATGTGCCTGAGAATCACCTGCGGAGCTTTTTAAAAGTACAGATTCTCAAATCCCACCTCTGAAATTGCTGGGGGAAGTCTCTGGTGTAATAAACTTCTCAGATGATACTGATACTCAGCCAGGTTCAAGAACCACTGCTTCCCACGACTCCCCAAGGGGAAGGTTTGTGGGGTGTGTGTGTGAGTGCATGTGCGTGTGTGCACGCGTGCGCGCGCGCGCGTGTGTGTGTGGGGGGTGGGGGGGTGGGCAGCAGCCTAACCCCAGTCCTCAGACCACAAGGTCATTGCATCCTGTATCCCCTTCATAGGCACCTTGTTTCAAGCTGCAGAAGATGAAAGTCAAGCAGGGCCAGCCTACTACTTGGGGGTGACACAGAGGTAGAAGGTGTCCATGATGGGACAGGGACATGGCAGGAGTGTGTCTCTGTGTGTCCATGGCTAACAGTCATACCACTTGTCAGAATATTGACATCCTTCCATACCAGTTAATAAATAGCTGCTGCCCAGAACAACCCAAGTGCCCTCCGCTGCCCCAGACCCTGCTGTGGGACTCTCCTGGACCCTCTCCCCTATATAACAACTAAATGGGTAATGCTTACACCTGTCACTGTGTCCAGAACCATTGCAATGGGTCAGTGACTACACATTTCCTGGCTATGTCACCCTGTGGGACTCGGCTAGGCCTCAGTGTCAGATGAACACTCCCCAGGGGGATAGCCATGTCATTATTTTCCCCAGATCAACAATTTATCCACTCCTACTCTTTGCCAGGCCCTAGAGACACCAGTATGTGTCTAACCAGCTGTCTCCAGCTCTGGAATAAGGCCACATGCACAGGTCACGGCCCTGGGAGCAGAGCAAAGAAAGCTCCCTGGCCAAGCCTGCTCCTGAGGAAGGAGAGTGGAGAGGGCACATTCCCCCTAAGGCTGGGGAGGGGACAGCTGCCCAGATGCCCTGTGCTACTGCTGGTAATGCCTGCCTGGGAGCTGGAGGCTCCTGGGATTGGAGGTGAGGGGGCCAGCTCTGTTCCAGCTTCACTTCCATCTCTCTTGGCAGATGCAGTCCACGTATGTCCTACAAGGTCTTCACCTCCACATCCCCAACATTTTCCCAAACTACCCTGGCAACAGCTCCGTGGCCCTGGGAGCCCAGGACATCGGCTATAAGGTGGGAGACAACTCTTATGTTCAGCCCCAGTTCCGGCTGGGCTGGGAGCTTCCTCCTAATTGAGGAGGAAATGAAGCTGCCTTTACACTCCCCTCCCCCAGTGGCAGGGTGTCCTCAGGGTATAGAAGAGGCACCCGGAGGGTGGGTGAACTTGTGCCACAGCCCAGCCATCTTGCTGAGATGCTCAACTGCTCAAAAGAATTCAGGCCAGTTCACTCACTCCCACTGCAGCTCTGAGCCAGCCTCGCTGCCAGTTTGCCCCAGGCCCTCAGATCAGGCGCACTGGGGTCCCTTCTCAACTCTGCCTTGTCCCCTTCGTCTCTGGTACCCCTGCCTTTCACCAGGACTTTCCAAACCAGTTCCTTGGCATTTCAGAGACTCATAAAATCAAAGATCTTTAGAGCGGGCAGATGAATGACATATTTGCCACTCCACCTCCAGTTCTTGCCCATGGCAGACATCACTAATCAATCATGACATTCTTTATGCTGAGCCTGTGAATGTTTCCGGCAGCCACTACCAACTGATAGAAGTTAGAGGAACCTATTTGCCATCCCTGATCTAATCCTACCCTTAGTTACACAGCTGAGGTGTGTGCCTTCCAGAGAGGGGAAGGGGCTGACTCTGGGCCACCCAGGGACAGTCTGGAGTCCAGGTCTCCCGGCTCCAGCCCTGAGCGCCTTCCACTCTGCTTGCCTGCCTCTGTTGGACCCCTCTTGCCCAGATCCCAGAAGCCTGGCTCCTCCTGGCTAACGTGGTCGTGGTGCTGGTCCTGGTGCCTGTGAAGGACCACCTGCTTGACCCTTTGCTGCTGCGGTGCAAGCTGCTTCCCTCTGCTCTGCAGAAGATGGCCCTGGGGATGTTCTTTGGTTTTGCCTCCGTCATTGTGGCAGGTGTGTGGACCTAAGTGGAGGGGCGTGAGGAGGGAGGCTGGTCTTGTCTGGGGATCGGTGGAAGCTGGCTCCACTGTGAGCTGATGATGCTGAAGCCGGGGACTTGGGCCAAGTATACCCTCCACCCATGGGTGCCAGTCTTGGCTTCCCAGAAGGTGCGATCTCAAGGAGACCCTCCTCATTGAGTCCAGCCCCCCATCATTTGACAGATGAAGAAACTCAGGCCAAGAGAGGAAAACAGATTTTCCCCAGTGGGATGTAAACTGCCTGAAGACAGGGATTTTCTTTTTTATTTATGGCTATGAATGATGCACGTGGGCACTCAACACATGTGTTAAATGAATTTTCTAAAGATACACAGCCTCTTAGTGGCACATGGGCAATTTTTTTTAAAGTATTTATTCTCTTCCTTCTTCCATTTCAAAAAGATTTGAAGCTGCTTATGAAAAGGGGTTCAAGTAAAGCAGGCTTCTGTGCTATTGCACAGACTTCGGCCCTTTTGACTTAGTCACTTAATGATCCTGAAGTTTCTTAGAGTCTCTGAGCCTCATCTTTAAAATGGGCCTAGTAATTCATTCAGATCCTGTGCAGGGTCCAGGCCCTACCCACATGGAATGTCGTCCAGCCAGGGTGTTCTGAGGACTAAGATGAAGTCTGTAAAGCACCCAGTACCGTGCCTGGATCACAAGTAGGAGCCAGAGGAATTAAAGCTCAATCAACAGGATTGTATTGCAAGGGTGAAAACCAAGCTAGATTTCAAAGCTATGTGCCTTAATGAGTTTTGTCCTATTTCATCCTCACAATAACCCTGGGATTTTTATTCCTACCTCCTGCATAAGGGAGCTGGGTCTCAGCGAGGTTAGGTGACTTGCCCAAGGTCACACAGCCCGCCAGTGGCAGGGCCAGTATTGGAACCCAAGACACCTAACTCCACATCTAGTCTTCATGTCACTAGAGCACAGCTGTCTCCTAAGCAGTGAAGGGGAAGGAAATAAAAGAAACTTGAAAGCCAGGTTAGAAACCCTGCTATAATACTTGATGCTACAGTAGAAGAGCCATGTGATACCATAGAAAGTGGACCAGCTTTGAAACCAGACACACTGGGGCTCAAATCCAGCCTCAACTACTTATCGGCAGCCTGACTCTGGGCTGGTTGTTTAACCTAAATTTCTCTTTCTTCATTTGCAAGAATGCATATTAAATGCCTAGCACACAACAGGCTCTCGATTAATGAGAGCTGTTACAGTTATTGAGTGCAAATCCTAGCTCTGAGCTTCCTTGCAGCCGAGGCGAAAAGGGAAGAGTTAGAACCCAAATCTTGACACACACACACACCCTTGACCAGCATTCTTTCCCTCACCTGCTGCCTAGTCAGTCTTTGGCTATTTAGAGATAATACCCACCACATGCCAAGCTCTGCCACAAGCTAAGCTGCCTGGAATGGGCCTGGCTGTAGTCCCTCTCTGTCCCCCACCAGGAATCCTGGAGATGAAGCGTTTAGAGTACATCCATCACAACCAGACTGTGTCCCAGCAGATCGGGCACAACACGTACTATGCAGCACCACTGTCCATCTGGTGGCAGATCCCTCAGTACCTGCTCATCGGAATCAGTGAGATCTTTGCCAGCATCCCAGGTACCCTGGACCCCACCCCTGCTCTTTCACCAGTGATGGGCTCAGCCTGGTGGTGCCTCGAAGTTAGAGGTCTCACAGGTGTAGCTTCTAGAGCTAGCCTGCATGGAGGAAAGCAGGGTTTTCTGAGTGGGGCTACATTCACCCAGTGGGGTTTTATTAGCCCTTGTTTTGTGCCAGGCACTGTGATAGGCACTGGGGATTTGGAGCTGGGGCTTCCTCAGCTGCTGGCACGGGGGGGAAGCTGGTGGGACTCACTCGGTGTGTGCTGGGGAAACAGCCTCCCGAACACTGAACCCGGTGGGATGCTGTAGAAGTGACTGTAGGGTGCTGGGGAAGCCCTGGGGCAAGGTGGGGAGGGGTCAGAACTCATCAGGTAGCCGCAAGGACCTCACAGGCAAAGGGAGCAGCATAAGCAAAGAGCAGAGCCTTGCGTGGAGTTGGGAGTGAAGGCTGGAGAGGCGCTGGGCTTGGTGGGTTGAGCCTGGGGATGTTGAGGTTTCTCCCTGGGGCAGTAGCCCCACCCCAAGGGGGTTGGGGCAGGGAAAGGACCCCATTAGAGATTTTAGACCTTTGGCTGTGTGAGGAGGAGGACACGAGACAGGGGAGTTTAGGAGGCATTTGCAGAGGCCAGGTGGGAAATGACCAGGGCTAGGGTTCGGCCCGGGGCAGTGGGAACAGAGAGGAAGGCAGACATTAAGAAGTTTCTGAGGTTGAATGAAAATGACCTGGTGATGACACTAAAGGTGAGCAGAAAGTGTAGGGGAGAGGGTGAAGATAGCAGGTAGGTGGGGGAGGAGAGCAGACAGAGCTCTTGGGGCAATGTGGGGGCCGTTCAGGTGGGTGTCCACTTGCTGGATGACAGGTCACTGGTGCATGGGCATCATCATAGCCATGGGGCCATCAATCATCCAGGGAAAGCCAGGATGGAGGCTGGCTGGCGGTGGGGTGGGGTTATGGCCCAGTGGGCGGGGACCTGAGCCCTTTCTCTGCTCCTCCACCGGCTCCTGAGGTCTTCCGTCCTCCCTCTGCAGGCCTGGAGTTCGCGTACTCAGAGGCCCCGCGCTCCATGCAGGGCGCCATCATGGGCATCTTCTTCTGCCTGTCGGGGGTAGGCTCGCTGTTGGGCTCCAGCCTGGTGGCACTGCTGTCACTGCCAGGGGGCTGGCTGCACTGCCCCCTGGACCATGGTGAGTATGGGGGCCTCCCTGGAAGTAGGGAGGTGTGGAAAGGAGGTGGCGACTGCTAAGTGCTTTGGCCCCCAGCAGAATGAAGCAGCAAGCTGGAGTCAGATGGGCTTCTAGCTCAAGTTGGCCAATCACCGATAACATGGCTTCCCTTCCTTGGGCCTCAATTTCCCTGTCAAAAAGGACATATGGAACTCACTGGGCCACCAAGGCTCCTTCCCGCTTCTGGAACTCTGCCATTCTGGCCGAGGGGTCACTTTTCCCTGTGGTCTTTGTGTTGTAAGCCCCCTGAAAGAACAGCTAGCTAACCGGGAATTGTAGAGACCTAGGGCAGCCAGCTCGAGGGCTATCTGCCCAGTGTCTTCAGGTCGCACCTGCTAGCCACACTGCTTCAGCTGCCAGCTCCGGGGGAGCCCTGCCCTGACCCAAATGTCAACCCCTCCTTTCCCTAGGGAACATCAACAATTGCCAGATGGACCGGTACTTCTTCCTGCTGGCTGGCATTCAGGCTGCCACAGCTCTCCTGTTTATGTGGATTGCTGGTCGCTACGAGAGGGCAGCTTGTAGCCCAGCCTCCCAAAGCTGTCTCAGCAGGGATAGGGGCTGACATACCCTCACCCACCCCTCCACGTCTCTCCACCGGAAAACAGACAGCAGCAGTCCCAGCTGGCGTTTCCTTCTTGGTTTATTCTGTACCCAACGTTAGAATGAAATGGTTCCCATAAATAAGGGGCATGAGCCGTTTCTTATGACCATGGTCCATGACAAGGGGCAGGGCAGAGGGGGCCTGGGTGGGAGTCCTTGCGAGGGACCAGGCAGGGGACTTGGATCAACAAGCACCAGAGGATGAGCAGGCGGCTGCCCGAGGCCAACAAGGCTGGGCCAGGCAGGCCAGGAGGGGTCAGGAGCTGCCCCGGATCCTCTCCATGTAACTGCGCAGCTCCTCAGGGTCCTTCAGCCCCATGTCCTCACACACCCAGCGGATGTCTTCCTCGCCTGCCACCAGGATGGACTGCACAGCAGGGGCCCCCACGGGCTCCTCAGGCAGCTGGGCTAGGGGAGCTGGTGCAAACGTCACAAACTCAACACGCTTCCGCCGCCCCCCAGCTTCCTTTCGGGCCAGGGTGCTCGGGGAGCTGGCGGTGCCCCCAGCAGGTACTGTCGCCACGGTCTGGGCCTCCCCTCCCCCACTTCCACAGGGGCAGCTCCTCTCCCCCTTGGGCAGGCCAGGGGACTGCCGGTCCAGCTGGCGGCTCAGTTCCTCCTGATCAGTGCCCAGCCAGACCCAGTTGTGGGGCTGGGGCGAGGCAGGGTCATTGGCACTGTCAGGAGGCTCCTTGCGCTGATAGCGCAGCACGAAGACCACACCATTGACCAGGAAGATGAGGATGGCCAGACAGAAGATGCCCAGCAGGGCATACATGCCTAGTTCTAGGTTGGTGACCCGCTGAGGGGCGGGGACCATCTCCTCCTCTTCCTCTTCCTCTTCCGTAGCCTCTGCCGCCTCCTTCCCAGCCTCCTCCTCTGCCCGCTCAAACTTGTCCCTCACACCCCCACTGCCCCCCACACTGCCTGCTGCCTGCCCTTCACCACTTATGCTGGTCTCCATGGCTGGTGAGCTCCGGGCAAGGCTGGATGGGAGGGCAGGGGCCGGCGTGGGAGCAGGAGGCAGCCCTAGCCAGGCTGTGCCAGAGGCCAGGGGCACACGGTGACGGCCCCGGCGGCAGGGCTCAGGTGGGTGCAGAGACACATGCAGGGGCAGCCCCTCGGGGCCCGCCCCACTCACCACCACCCCGAGCTGGGCACCCTGACCCTCGGCTGGCAGGACGGCGCCAGGCTCCTCGGCCGAAACGGAGAGTCCCAGGTCACGATGGTCGTAGAGCTCAGCGGGGGCCAGGGTGTGGTCAGAGAAGGACAGCCACAGGGAGAGGGCCACCTCCTGTGGGGCACACGGACACAGGCAGAGACACGCGAAAGCACGCACGCATGCACACAGAGACCACTCCCACAGAGACAGGCCACACGGAGCGGGAGAGACCAGAGAGAAAACAGACACAGGCAGATGGACAAAACACAGGGAGAGAGGGGACGTGTGTCAATCACCTGCTGGCCACTCAGCCCCAGCATCTGAGTCATTGGGAGGGTCCTCAGTTAGAGCCATCTAATCAACCTCCCACACGCCAGACAGACACTGCTTGATCATCTCCAGCCGAAGAGAGCTCACTCCCTTACAGGGCAGTCAGTCCTCATTATGAAAACCCTAAGGTGAGGGGTAGAGGTGCCACCCATCCCCCTGTCATCAGCCCCCATCCGGAGATGTTGACTTTATCCCCCTGATCCCCAGCTGTCACCTGCTTTGGGGCGGGAAAGGCTGACTGTGCCCAGCACGTGGCTGTGACCTCTCCGGGGTGGGCAGTGCCCCGGCTGAGGGCCAGCGAGATGCCCATTACTGGCTGCACCCGAAGCTCCAGCACTGAGACCTTGTCATCTGTCACGGCCAGTGCCTGCTCCCCCAGGATGGAGTCAGAGAGCGGGGAACGCACCTGAGGGTGAGAGGGAGCTGGAGGTGGGGGGTCCTCACACACTGACATCTTTTCCCCTCTGAGACCCCAGCAGCCCCACAAAGATCTGGTTTCTGCTCCCAGCATCCACACAGGCTGCTCTCCCCAGCCCTTTGCACCCTAACTCCATGCCTGGACCCCAATCCCACACATGGGGGACAGTTCCCTCCTTTCTTAAGACCTGGCCCCACGTGCCCATCCCCAGCCCTTCACACCTAAAAAACTTCTCCCATTACACAGGCCACCCTCTTCTCACCCAATCCCCAACCCCACTGGGCTCACACCTCGCCAGGTACACCCTGGGCTCCTCTGACACTCTTCACAGCTGCCCATGAACATTCTGGGGGCCACCTACACCTTCCTCAGGGGGGCTGCTCACCTCAATAGAGGTGACGCCGGGCTCTCGGCCCACCAGGACGTGGCCGCCCTCCAGCGAGGCTACACGAGGGTCTTGCACGCGGGCGTGGGGTGCCACGAGGTGGGACACGTCCAGCAGCCAGTCGGGGCCGAGCAGGTGGGTGAGGCGACGGCCGCCGTCCAGCGGGTGGGCCGCAAAGGGGACTAGGAAGCGCACGTTGGCGCGCTGGTACTGCAGACGGCAACTGCGGGCTCGCCGCTCCGCCTCCTCTGCTGCAGCAGCCTCAGGCTCTAGCGCCCTGCGGAAAAGGGACAACCCAGGGGAGGGGCATCAGCACGGGCTCCGCCCCCAACCGCGAGAACAGGCTCGCTGGAGACCCCTGTTCCCAAAGAGCAGCAAGAGCAGCGTTCCTCAAACCCCGCCCACAGCTCCCTGTTAGGTCAGGCCCCTCCACCTGCAAGCACTGCATCCCAGCCCCATTCCTGATTAGTGCCTGTACCTATCCATCAAACTGCTCTCTCCCTCCTCCTGCTCCTAATCAGAACTCCAGGGACCCAAAAAGAGCCCCTCTCCACTTCCCCCGCCCCCTACCGGAAGGCCAAATGACGCTCACTCTCTCTGAGGCCTGGGAGGGCAGGTTCCAGAGGCCAGAGGCCACCTCGCCCTTGGGCTCTAAGTGCCATCTTAGGCTTTGAGGATACAGCAGTGAACAGAATAGATAACCCCTGCCCTCAAGGGCTTACAGTCTAGGGGAGTGGTGTGCAGGGGGCAGACAGACTACAAACAAGACGAATCAGGTAATACAGCATATTAGAAAGGGATCTGGTCCATAGAAGTGTGGCGGGGAGGGAGAGGGAGTTGTGGAGGTCGGCAGTGACGACGTGGTCAGAGGCTGTGTGGTGAAGGGCCGTAGTCCCATCGGTAGAAGGAACTGCAAGCAACTGGGCAGTTTTTCAGAACCCAGCTCAAGCCCGTGGCTGTGTCCCAGGCCTTCTCTCAGTCCCACAGCAACTTCGCCAGGCCAGCCAGCTTCCACAGGCCTCCACTCACCCGTCAGCTGAGCTGGGTACCCTCCAGCCTCGGACCTGCTCGAGGGTGGTGTCAGTCAGCTCGATGCGGAGGGGCAGCAGCGGGGCCCACACCGTCAGCCGCAGCGAGGCCCGCAGCCGGCGCCACCAGAAGTCCACTCTCACCCCCTGAGCACCCCGGCTCTCCTTGCCAGCCACAAACACGGCGTCACAGGCCTCGGACACCTGTGGGAGGACAAAGGGTAGGGGGTGGGCTAAGCCAGGAAAGATGGCTGTGGGCCAGAGAGGGCAGCCCTGACCCCAATCCCTAAGAAGGGGTAAGGCTCTGTATGTTCCTGTAATGCACGTCCTTAGGTAAGATTTCACCATGCATCCAGGATCCATTCTTCCCGGAGGAACCAGCCATTCCAAGTCCACCTGGGGCTCAGTTGGGGAAACTGGCTATTTGCATACAACAGTATCTTTCTCCTGACAGAGGGTTTGAATCCACAAATTTGCCTCCTTGTTAGTGCTGGCCTCTGACTTTGGTGCCGGAGCTACCTGGCAACCAGCTACAGATAGGTAGGCAGAGGTGGAAGGGTAAGACAAAGCTACCCACTGGAGCCCTCAGGTAGGAACCACTTACCCAGGGCAGCCAGGATTTAGGAAATACAGGCTCTGGGCTTCCCCTCTTACAACTTCCAGATGGGGAAAGTTGCCAGCCCTTTCATACCTCACAGGTCATTATGATGCTCCAATAATAATTACTGTCATTATTTGTATATAGTTGTTATTATAACAGTAGGTTCCATAGTTTCAGCTCCTGCTCTCTGCTGGATACTGTTTTAGGGTCTTTTCATTCTTACAACATCCCTAACATATATTCCCATTTTAAAGCTTAAGAAACTGAGGCTCAGAGAGGTTAAGAGACTTGTCCACAACCACACAGCTAGTCGATACCAAAGATGGGTTTCAAACTGAAACTTTCTGATCCCAAAGTACATGCTCTTAACTCTCCCACGGCAGCTCATTTGCCAATGCAATAATGAACACGGAAGGGCCTAAATTGGGGGCAGTTAGGGCTACAGAGCTCCCACGTGACTCTGGAGAGAGGAGGTGGGAACAAAGGAAGTTGAAACTGTGGCTCCCCCCATGAAGTTTCTGGTGTCAAGAAGCAGCTGTTCTCTTGGGAACCTGAATGGGGAAGGAGGAAAGCAGTGTGTACATCACTGCATGCACAAATGCGTACTCACGCGGGGTTGGCATGTGCCACTCACCTGCAGGACCTGTGCGTTGGCCGACTCGCAGCCAATGTGCTCTGTCACCTCCACCAGAGCCCCCCCACTGTCCACGGTGACAAGGCGCACGGGGACATGCCGCGGCACTCCAGTCAGTGGTGCTGTATTGACCAGCTCCTCGGCCTAGGAATGCAGGAAGAGCTTAGCCCCAAGCTCTTCACCTCACTTGGCCTCCCACCTGGCCGGGCAGAGGGGGGAACCTTACCTTGGCCAGAGGGATGAGAGCTCTTATGTCCCGCTCTGATACCAGGATCTCCCACACCATTTTGTCCTTCTCCGCTTCGGGGGCCTGGCCCGGATACTCCAGCTGCCATGTGACAGGGCGAGTGACTGCCACACCCCCACTGGTGCCATTGTCCACCAAAAAGTCCACCCATAGGAACTCAGACAGTTCAAGGGGGCTGCTGGCCAGAAGAGAGGAAAACTGAGTGCTTGTTAGCAGCCAGGCACTGTCTTAAGCACCTCCTGTATTCATGAGGTAGGTTCTGTAATCATCTCCATTTTACAGATGAGAAAACTAAGGTACAGAGGTTATAAGTATGACTTGCCCAAGGTCATACAGTAAAAAGTGGCAGGGCTGGGATTAAACCCAAACTTCCTAGTTCCAGAGCTCAAGCTCTTATCCACTCTTGGCCCCTGCAAGGTCCATGTAGCCACCTAACTCCTCCCCCTCCCCGGATGCTTGCTAGCTCTCCTGCCTTCCTGGGCCTCCTCCTCTCAGACATCTGCCTTCCACAGCCATCAGGGTGGCATAAAGCATCTGATTCCATTTCTGTGAAGGAGGAAGGTTCGTGTCCAAGCCCCAGGACTAGCACTCGACCCTCTGAATAATAACCCTTACGGCTTCCTTTGATCTAGCACCTGTTATGTGGCAGCAACTGGCCTTGTTGCTGGCTATACAGCATCTGATTTTATTTTTACAATCCCTAAGGGATGCATTTTTATCCCCATTTTACAAGTGAGGAAACTGAGGCTCTGGTGAGGAGGGGGGTACGGGGAGGTTAACTGGCTTGCCCAAGGTTATTCATCCAAAAAGTATCAGAACTAAGATTCCAACAGGAGCTACAAAGCCCATGGCCTTGACCCAGACTCAGGGCACGAATAAAAAGGGTTTGTAAATGTTAAGAATTGCAGCTGGGCTTTTTGGGAATATTAATGGCCCTCCAAAAGGGGCCATTTATTGGTGGTGGGAGGAGGGTACATTTATTGGCTGTGAGAGCTGTAACTGAGGTGCCAGGATAGGTTGGCATCACCTAGAATAAGACAGACACTCACTGTACCTGGCACATGACTAGGATAGATAAATATTAATAGTAGCTGAATGAATGAATGAATGAATGAATGCTATATCGGCTTTGTGCTGCTTCCTTGAAGGAGCCTGTTCTTTGTGCCTACTGACATGGGAATATGGAGGCAGTAAGGCAGCCGTCTTCCCTGGAACCTCATAAATCTACCCACCAGCAGTCCCTCCTCTGCCCCCTGGTGGAGGAAACTGCCCACCTGGCGTCTTGCCCCGTGGGCCCGGCTCGGTGGCAGGTGATGAGGGTGGTGTGGTGCTTGGAGCCCTTGAAGCGGTCCAGCTTGGCAGTCCAGAGGGTGGGCTGGGCTGGGCGGGCAGCCGTCACGTGCAGCCCCTTCTTCACCTTGATCCTGGCGGGGAGGACACAAGTCCAGTTTGTCAAGGTGGGTACTGAACTGTGGACAGGCTCCAAGGGGGAAGAAGGGGGCTAAAGACACCAGGCTCCTGTCTGGCCTCCCCCGGCTCAGGTCTGAATATCGTCCTACGCCGTTCTCTGATTCAGAAGGACCCCATCTCAACACAGGTCATGCCATCCATATAGCTCCCCTCCACTCGAAGATCCCTTATGATGTTCCACTGACCACAAGGTCAAATCCTAGCCTGGCATGCGTGGCCTTCCAGGGTATGGTCCAGTTTCTCCGGCTGTGATATCTTTCCATCACTCTTTGCTTTCGCTGCACCCAAAGATCTTTCCCACATACACAATGCACTCAGGCCTCTAAGCCTTTGCTTAGGCTGTGCCTTCTGCCTGGCCTGCCCTTCCTTTCTTCATCTGCTCATTCTTCAAGCCTCCAGCAACTGAAATAGCATGTCCTTTAGAAAGCTTTTCCCGTGGCAGGATGAATTTCTCCTTCCTCCACCCGCTACCTCAAACCTCCGCAGCATTTTGTACCTTCATCGGAGCATATAATCCAGCTCATGTTTGCCCAGCTCCCTGCCCTACCACTGGGGGACCCTTAGTGCCCGGTGGGGACAGGGCCTTGCTCCTCTCTCCAGTGTAGAGATACAGGGCTGGGCAGATTTTAAGGTTCAGGAAAGATCTTCTGAGTGTGTGAGTGAGCACAGGAGGGCCTGAGAGAAAGGTGAGGGGACAGGCGCCTGAGAGACACATGGGGATGGGACACACACAAACCCAAATATGGAACAAGCAAGTCACTCTCTGCAAATCCTTGTCACGGGGATTGGGTTGGGGGGCTACTGTGGGGGGGCTACTCTGCAGAAAGGGACACAAAGAGGGAGTCCTTCCTATGGAGAGGAGTGGGCTGTGTCCAAAGGTGAGGGACCTGTGCCGAGGGTAGCAAGCGGGGGAGAACCTGTAGACGAGTGTGACTGGGGCAAATCCCCTCCTGGGGCATTAGAGCATTAACCACCCCAGTCACTGCACTTGCCGGTTTCCAAGCCCTGTCCGGTTTCCCCTCCCTGAAGCCTCACAGCTGCCCTTTGAAGTGGGCAAGTTAGCCCCACTGGACCAAGGAGTCTTGGGGAGGTGCCAGGAAAGGGGCGCTTCCTACTTCTAACTCTAAGTTCAGGGCTATGCCCACTGCTGGGTCCTGCCTGCTGCCAGGGCAATCACGGCACTTGACCTGAATGGGGTTTGGTGGACCCATATTTGCAGAGGTTAAGGATTCTAGTCAGGACCCCAAGAGGAGGAGGCCCCTGCCCAGTCTTCCTGCAGAGGTTCCTGCTTCCAACCCACCCCCGGGGGCCCAGTGCTCACCGCAGGGTCAGGACGCTGGCTGTGAAGTTGTGCCGAAGCAAGAGGGTGGCACTGAAAAGCTGGCCGGGCCGCACAGGCACATCAGGCACCCGCAGAGTCACTGCCTCATCTAAGGGAACCTCCTGGTACTGCGGTGGGTCTGCGGGTCGCAGCTCCACACTGCCCACTGGGAGGGCCTGTTCGCCAGGGTCCTGTTCCCCACCAGGGCCACAGCCTCCAGGGCCCTCGGCGGCAGGCTCCAGCGTGTAGGCCAGCTCGGCCCGTGTGATGGAGCCTTGGGAGAACCAGTGCGACGGGAATTCCATCTCCACCACGCAGGCACCCAGGGATGGCTGCAAAGACACGACGGCCATGGTTGGCCGGCAGAGGAGGGTATTCCCGACGCTCATGGCAGGAAACCCAGAGCTGAAGTGGTCCCTGACAGCAGGGCCAGCACGGGCCAGAGACAAACCCCAGGTGACACAGCGAACTAGCAGCAGGGCTGGGGCTAGGTCTCCGAATGCACCCACAGGGCCACTCGTCTACCTTTGGGAACAGTCTCATTCCAAAGCAAACACATTCCAGAGCCACCTCCTACCATGCCCCAGGACCACCCTAACTACAACTCAGGTTTCTCAGGGTCCCAAAGTCCACCAAATACCTCTTTTCAGTGGACTCCTGTACCAGACTCCAAAATAGTGAAAATCGCAATTGTAAAAGTAACACTGACAATCACGCAAACACTTGCTGAGGGATTGCTCTGTGCCAGGCACGGCGTTCATCTCATTTATTCTTTATTCCAACTCCATATGAGGTAGGAATTGTTATTACCCCATTTTACAGGTGAGGAAACTGAGATTAAGTTACTTGCCTCAAATCATATACAATGGACTGAACTCCATAAGGGGCTCTAAATAACCCTTTCACAGGGTCCCAGCAAAGCTAGCAGAGCAGGAATGAAGTCAGGTGGTCCATGATCCCCCAAACTTCCCAGGTGTGGTAAGCCCTCTCTTCCCTACTCCGGGACCACCCTCTGGCTGGCGCAGCAGCAGAGCCAGCCTGGGTGGGGCCCGCCCACTCACCTGGAATCGGCAGGCTCGGTGAGCAGTGCCTGCAGGGTGTGTGGCATGGAGCCGGGCACAAGGCAGGCTGCCAGGCCCAGGTGGCCAATCCTGCCCTTTGAGGTGGAAGAGGACCCGGGCGTGGGGCTCTGCTGGCGTCACGGCTGCTTCCACAGACACGGCCCGCACGTCCCATGGGACTGGCCGTTGGTGGGGTTCAGTGACCCGAGGAGGGACAACCTGGAGGGAGAATGGGGGTATGCAACAGAGCAGGGGGTAGGGGGAAGCGAGATCTGGGAAGATGGGATGTCAGTCTTCCAGTTCCAGCCTGGCAGGAGAGAGCCTTTATGGGCCTCAGTTTCCCCCTCTGGAAAACAGGAAGCACGGCTGGGGCAGGCCCCTGAGCCACACACAGCGGACCTCAGCTCTGAGTCCTGTTAGCCTGGGAGTCCCCGGCGCCCCCTCCTTCCTTACCTGCTGAGTGGCAAAGGGTGGGTAGGCGGCCCGGAGAAGTGGCTGGGCCCTGGGCCAGGGCTGCAGGAGCAGAAAGGTCTCAGATCGGGAACCCATAGAGGAGTTGGCAGGTGGGTAGCGGCCCACCTGCTGCACACGGAAGTGTTCAGGGGCATCCAGGAGCTCCAGGGCTGCTGGCAGGTAGACAGGGTCCAGGGGGTCCTGGTCACAGTCCACTGAAGAGGGAGAAGGGGTAGAGATGGTGACAGCTCCAGAGCTGGCAGGGGCTGAACTGAGTTCGGTCCTGGGGCACAGTGACGGTGGGCAGTGGAGGAAGAAATGGGTTATTAATGTCCCACACCCCCAGGATGTGTGTGTGGGGGGAATCTCCCCATGGCACAGATGAGGAAACTGAGGCTCAAAGAGCCTTATGCAGGTAGCAGGTGACAGGGTCAGGATCTGAATCTGATCCAGGACCGGATGCCAGTCTCGAGCCATTTCTTCTTCCACTTTCCACAGACCCACGCCTTCCTCCCTCCAGCAGATCCTTCTCGATGTCTCCTCCTCCCCCCCCCCATTCCTAGCTTCTACCTAATTGCTTCTGACACCAAGGCATTCATGGGGTACAGCTCTTTCCAGACAGGGCCTACAGGGTAAAAGGTGGTGACCAGGTGAGTTTTGTAGAAGTAGAGACCCTGTCTCTGTCCCTGGGTCCTTGGCCAAACTTAGCTGGGCATCCACCCTCCCTCACCATGGCAATCTCACACTGGTTTCCCAAACTTGCTTCATTCTTCCTTGTCCCAACTGAGCACTGGAGTGCAAGAGCGGGAAGGAGGTGGTGGGTGGGAACCACGAGCCTGGAAGAGAGTCTGGTATCCAATACCCGGAAGGACAAAGGACCACTAAGGCCATATTTGATTTGTACCAACTGTTAGTTGGCCTTAATAATAATAAACATTTTTTGAACACTATACTATACGCAAGCTACCATTTTAAACACTTTACATGTATTAACTCTTTCAGTTTTTGTAATAACTCTGAGAACTAGCTTCTGTTACTATTGACCCCATTTTATGAAGGTAGAAAATGAGGCTGGGGGGGTTAAGGTATTTGCCTGGGGGTCCCACAGCTGTGCATGGTGGAGCTGGGAGTCAGAGACCAGGCATCAACCACTGGACCACCTAGCGTCCCCACTCTCCGCCTCTCTCTCTACCCGATGCTGTTTGCGACGGTGTTCACTCCCTAGACCCTGGTTCTCTCCCTCCTCCTTCAGGGCCAGGAGTGAATATTGCCTCCTTAAGGAAGCCCTCCTTGACTGCCTGTCCTCCGTCATTTACACCCTTGGTTGCTTCCTCTGAATTAGTCATGCTCCTGTTTATCAGCGAGGCCTTGTCTTACTGATCCTGGACCCCAAACTGGGCAGTGCTTCCTAGAGAGGATGTCCTGGGAGCCTGGAGACCTGCATTTATGTCCTAACTCTGCCTCGATGAAAGTTGAGCCAGTCAGTTAACACCTTGGAGCCTCTGTTTCCTCCTCACCTGTAGAATCGGCACTTGTGACACTGTGGACAGGGGAGGGCTTTGTAAACTGTGGAGCGAAGTCTGAAAGAGGGGTTATTGCCGCTGCATAATGGATGTGACAGGGCTTTCCTCATCTTTCTGTGTAAGGGGTTATTAGGGCTCCCACAGGGTCCCCTGGGGAGGGGAGCAGGTGGCTGAAAGCAGCCTCAGAGCAAGCTCCCTCTCAGTCCTGCTGCTGGGCTGGGGGACTTGATAGTTTCAACCTCCTTCAATACTCGCCCCTCACCACCACCACCACCAATGAGCATGTTTCTGAGACACTCCCCCCATCCCCCCCCCCCAAGTGTAACAGGTGAGTGACTATGGCTCCCTGGGAGCAGCCCCTGGCCTCCGTTCCTCCTCCTCCTCCTCCATTGCCTGGGTAATTACAAGATGCTCTGAGGCCTGACTCCCACTGACTCCCATCACCCAGAACTCAGCTTTGTCGGTGGGGGTGAGAGGGGTAGAGAACGCCTCACTCTTCTGTGGCATCACCCCCCTAAGCAGCCACAGCCCAGGACAAGGGCAGTATGATCTCCACCCCAGGGCGCAGAGGAGTCCCTGCCCTTCTTCCAGTGATGGGGATCCCCATAAGGGCTCAGGAAGGCACGAAGGGGACAATCTCTTGGGACTCCGAGGTCAGAGAGCTACTTGGGGCAGGGGGAGGGCCGCTGCATATCTCGAAGGTCTCAGGCAGAGGGTCTGCGTTCCGTTCCCCGGGGGTGGGGTTGACGGTGGGAGGAGACTGGGAGCCACGGGGTGCCGCTCTGTGGAGGGCAGATTAGGGCGCGGGAGCGCCCAGGTCAGGGCCAGCTGGGTTAGATGCCCTGGCTGGAGGGGAAGACCGCGGAAGGTGCGGGAACCGAGTCGGCGGTTGGCGAGGTGAGCCCCGGGGCCCGGCTGGTTCTGGGTCAGGAAGGAGTTGCCGGGTTGTGCAAGGTGAAAGCAGCAGCGGGGGCGCGCGGCTGGAGGCAAGATCCCGGGGTGAGATCTCGCCAGCCCAGGGCACGCCGAGGACGAGCCCGCTGGGGTTTAGTCCCCGCACCCGCAGGATCCCGGCTCCAGGACATCCCTCGTGCCTGGCCGTGGCCGGGACCCTCGCCCCGCCCCGTCCCTCCCCTCCCGCTGACCTCTCAGGACGTCCAGGGCGAGGGCCACCAGGAAGCAGAGCCAGGGGCCGCAGGGCCCCCGGGGAGCCGCTGCTGCGCGCTTCGCCATCAGGGCGCACATCCTTCCCACCGCAGGCGGGGTCTAGGCGGGCGGCTCAGGTGGCCGCGGGCCGCCGGGCATCTCCCGCGCCCGCTCGGCGCCGGCCCTCTCTGGCCGGCTGAGTCCCAGCAGCCGCCTGCCCGGCCGCCCGCCCGCGGCTGCAGTTCCCAGACAATGGAGCGGGAGCTGGAGCAGGAGGTGGGAGGGAGAACACGGAGCACATGGGCTGCCCCTCCGCCCCGCTGGGTCCTAGTGCCCGACGGATCTCCAACCACCGGACGCCCCCGCACTCAAAGTCGGGAAGAAGGCCACTCCCCCTGGAGACCGAACAGCGGGGGACTGACCCATCTCTGCCAAGAGGGACGGGCCGTGTTCTGTTCACTCCCTCTCGGAAGCTCCAGACCGAGGAGCAAAAAGTCACTTCCTCTGCCTCTCCCCCGCCCCACAAGCAGCTCACCTGTAAAGGCATCTGACACCTGAATCAGAACCAGAATTCAGGGACAATGGGGACCAAGCTGCAGGGGTGGGAAAGGGGTGAAAGGCAAGCCAGGAGAGCGAGGTGACAGCTACCAGGCCCGCCCTGACAGAGGCCTGGGCCACTCCTGTGGAGGAAGGGCTCCAGGTGCGGGTAGCTCGAGTTTCATGCCCAGCCCCATCCCAGAGAGAGGCCTGTGGGCTTAGGAAAGGCCTGCCTCCCCGCCTTGCCTGCCAGGCAGTGTTGGGAGAGGTTCCACAGCCGGGTATCTGGCTCAACATTGGCATCTCCTGGGCAGCTTGTAAAGAAAAAACCGTGCCCAGGCCCCTCCACAAAACAACTGATCTAATCTATGGGCAGGGTGGAGAACCACCGCGCAGGAAACTCCTGTCTGGTAGGGGAAGGGAGGGCAGGCAAGTCTCCTGGCTGTGGGCCAGCCTTTGACAACCCTGCATATGGGATGCTGGTCAGTTCTTGGAAGTTCTGTAATGGGGGCACACTTTCCTCATTCCTCACGCTCCTGGAGGGAAGGGTACCTGGTACCAGCCTTCATTCCTGCCCCCTCCCCTGCCTCCCTTTCTACCAGCTTCACACTGCCCCTGCTGGGAGAACTCAGGAAAGCTGAGGGCTCTACACAAACGTGTTTCCCTGTAGAGGGAGAAATCAAAACGATGCAGACTTCAAGTAAATACATTTTATACGGAACAAGATAATAAAATAGCGTGCACTTTATTTAAAACCAAACAAGCGCTGATAAAAATAGGTATCACTGCAGTTGTGTTTCCGCATCAAACCTTAATCGTAAGAATTGGGCATTTATTCGCTCCTTCCATCATGAGTGGGGCCTGGCACAGGACACCCACCTCCACCAGAGCCTCAGCGGAAGAACAGGGGCCCTGGTGGAAAGGTCGGCAGGCTCCCCGTGCTCCCCGCACAGCATATGAAGGGAAGGGGCTGTAGGGCCATCTCTGGTGTGTCTGCTCCATGATCCTCCCAGGCCACTGGGTGGGCCCTGGTCAGCTACTCCCTGGTGGCAGTGAGTGGAGACTGAAATGGAGACCCGCCTGGAGCTGTGCAGACACGGAGATGAGCCGTCCTTCCTCCTCGGGGTCTCTGAAATCCTGAGGGATCTGATGGCCGCTGCAAGGGTCCTACTCGCAGGCACAAGCCTACGTATGAAGCAGTCATCTTTTGCTTTGGCTGAAGGGGAATCAAGATCCTGAGAGGAATCACTCTCTTCTTGACACGAAGCAGCCATAGAGATACAGTCCAGCAGCGGGCAAGCCGAGGGCCCGCTGGCACGTCTTAAGGCACTTGTAACAGACTCGGGGTGCATCTCGCCCCCAGCCCCGCGGGGAAGCTTCCCACCTCCCTTCCCCTCAGGTCCCTTATGCCCTGCCTCTTCTCCACGCGGGGCAATGGAGGGGACAGGAGCAGGCCTTGAGAGACTGTGGTTTGTTTGGAGTACAGGGCTGGAGGGAGACACACAGGAAGGGAGCTGGGGACTTGGCAAAGGAGGAGCTGGAGGACAGGAGAGCCAGAGCATCAGGAGGAAGGCAAGGTGGTGGCAGAGTCACGGGAGGCCAATGGCAGTGATGTTCACCGACAGCAGATGCGGAAGCTGGTGAGGAAGCCCATCCAAGCTGCCGTGGCTGGGACAGGCTGGGAGCAGAGAAAGGGGTAAGAGAACCAACCCCAGACAGAGGACCAAGCAGGGGGCATGGTCTTCCTCCCTCTCAGCTAGAGGGTCTGGCGCAGAGATAAAGGTTCTGAGGGTTCAGAGATGGCAGGAGAGGGGCAGGGGGCTGGCAGGAGGGCCAGTGACCCAGAAGCAGCTCAGCTCTTTGGTATGACGAAGGTGGCATTGTCGGGGTGCCTCCTCACTCCTCCTCCACGCTCCGGGGCCCCTTGGCCGCTCGCCTCTGCCGCCAGCGCATCTCCTCCACCTGGCGCTCCAGCACTCGCACCTTGGCCTCCAGCTGGGCCCCCGAGGCCCGGCTGCCAGTGAGCCGGCTCAGCAAGGCGTAGAGGGTCAGCAAGGCCAGGAGCAGCACGGCCCGGGTGGAAGGGTCGGGCACGGACCTCACCAGCGCCACAAAGCCGGCCAGGAAGAGGACAAGCTTCAGGCCCCACAGGATCCGCCCTAGCAAGGACAACACCAAGCCGAGGAGCAGTGACAGGAGCCAATAGATGACCAGGGCTGCTGCGCCCCACAGCAGGAAGGTCTGGACCTGGCTGGGGCTGAGCTTCAGACCCTCAGTGAAGTGATCTCCTGAAAGGGGGAGAGTTACAGAATCAGCGAACCTGGAGTGGTGAGGGGACAGGCGGGCAAGAACCAAAAGAGGGGAGGAGGTAAACCCCTCTGCAAAGGAAATGCTTTCCCACAGGGCCAGCTCCAGTTCCTACGGGCCGTGGATACATTATTTCCCTTGGTCGAGCCTGCTTCATCTACGAAATGGGGGTAATTCTCTGGACTGTGGGTAACGGTTAAATGAGAGGCTATGGCTTAGCGTGATGCTTCTCCCGACCCCCAGCCAACGCCTGGTAAGTGGTGGTAGTTATTGGCCTACTTTTATGCTGGCCTCTGGGGAGACCTGGGAGGTGTCGACTAGCTGGGGACAAATCTAGACCCTGAAAAGATAAACTCCCGCAAACAGGAAATGCCAGGCTAAGCTCCAGCCCACCTAAGCAGTTCTCGGTCACTCACCGTCTAGCCCCAAGGCATTCAGCAGCTGTGCGGCGATTCCAGACAGAGCGAAGAAAGCCACAGAGATGGCTGAGGAGATGGCCCACAGCACCTGAGACAAGGACTGTGGAAACAGCAGGGCTGAGATGAGTCCATAATTAATGACGCACTTCTCCTCCAAGCCTCACCACCACTGCCAGGCCAGACCTGGCAGAACATTTCCCACCTGCTTCTCAGCCAGAGCTTTGCCCACCTGGGCCTGGCTGAGGGGCTCCTTTCACAGCCACCTTCCAGGGCAAGAGATCGACCGTAGGCCATGTCTCTTCTTGAACTGCAGCCCAGGACATCTGGGCCCTAAGTCAACGGACTTGCTGGACACTGTGCTGCTGGTGGTAAGTGTATGTGAGTGGGGGAATCATCTAACCCCTGTTGCAGTCACCCTATAAAACTGGGGTCCTCCTAGCCTCCCAGGGAAGCATGGAGGTGTGTCATGTAACACTTGTAAAGGGCTAGGATGATTCAGTAAAACAGGAGTCAATCCGTTCTACTGTACTATGGATTTTATAAATGATTGTCCTGGCTGTTTAGTGCTGCCCAGCAAAAGTATGTGACACCATGCTTGGGATGCCATTAGGGAGAAGAGACAAACCTACTGGAAGCCCTTGAGTCAGCCCCACCCCCACCTCTACAGGTAAAGAAATGATTCAGGTCTTGATATTTTACCAATTTAAGACTTCAGGTCAAGTTTAGACCAAAGTCAGACTCTACAGTCACTCAGTGACAAAGGATTGTAAAGATGGCTCATTTCCCAGTCTTTCTGGCTAGAAGGGGCAGGAACAAGGCTAAAGGTGGGGATAGAGCTAAGGGCCCAAGGCTAGGAGTCAAACAGTGGTAGTGCAAAAGGCAGGTACTGTCTGGCCTCCTTTTGTGGAATCTGAGGCTCTCTGGGCCAGGGAATATGACACACAGAGGATGTGGGGCCCAGACCGGGCGGCCACGAACAATGTCTCCTCCTTTATGTCTCCTTAATGTACGCAGTCACTGCAGGGGACCACCTTCCTTACCTCAGAAACCAGGTGCGTGGTCTCTGGCCCAATCCAGTCGTCTAGTGTTCCCCGCACAGATCGGCCTATCTGGCTCAGCAGATCAACTGGGGCCTCCCTCTTCTGCTGGCCTGGCAGCCCAAAGTCTCCACGGGGCTGGGACGATGCTGAGTGGAGGAGGACGAGGGCCACTAGGACCATCGGGAAGACTTTGAACAGATGCTTGCCCCATGGCGAACTGCTGCCTGAGCCTGCCATGGCTGGGTCTGCAAGGAGAGAAGCACAGGGTGAGAAGGGGGCCAGAGCTGGCTTAGAAACCCACTGTCCCAGACCTGCTCCAGCACCCTCCTCCACCCCTGCTCTGCTAGCTAAGAAAGGCAGAACTGGGACTTCCACCTTCAGCTGGGCACAACCATCTGTTTCACGGGTTCCTCTTTCACATTCTTTACCACTTGCATATTAATTAACCAGCGAGTATTAGCCAATGCCTTAGGGTGAGTGAGATCTCTCTAAGGCTTACTCCAGTTCTCCAAATCTGGAGGCCTGTCTGTATCTTAGGTGCTATGGGCATAAAAGAATTATAATATGATGTCTTTGTCCCCAAAGAGGTTATAACCTATTCCAGATAAAGCTGATATATTAAAAAAAAAAAAAGGATTACCACCATATAGGGATGTAAAGAAAAGTGCTTGGTTACGTGCTCAAGCACATGCTATCTGATCGGCAGAACCATCACGTGAGGTGGGTATTTTCTTCCTCGCCCTTACTGGTGCAGAGAAGAAACTGAGGCTCAGGAGTTAAGCATCTGCCCAGGGTCACTGGGCTAAGTAGGAAGGCCAGGATGTGAAGCCAAGCTCCTGCTCCCAAATCGCATACTCATTGGGAGTGAAGGTGAGACAGTGAATCCCAACTGTGGCTGCTCCCTGGACTCACGTGGGCACTTCACAAAGGACTGATGCTCAGGGGTTCTGGTGTCACTGTCTGGATGTGGCCTAGGCTTAGAACTCCAAAAGCTCCCCAAGTGATTCCACTGTACAAAGTTGAGACCACTCACACAGAAGGACCCCAACTCTTCAGCAAAGGGGTAAATAGGCACAACCTTTAAGGAAAGACATTATCATTCATAAAAAACTAACCATGTGCCACCTATCTCATTTAATCCTCATCACAACCAATCAGGTAGGTATTGTTATTATCCCCCATTTGACTGATGACCAAATTGAGGTAGGACAAGAAATAAGTGGGGAAACCAGGATTTGAATTCAGGTGCATCTGATATCAGACCTCTCGCACACACCACCCTGCTGCATGGACAGTCTCCAACATAAATCTCAGAAGTGATTTTGAAAATCATACAATAGATTACTCATGAGCTAAGATAAACCTGGCATGTACCAATCATCTCCATGAATTACTGGTGACAATCCACTTAACTACTTTATATTTTGTGCTCTGATCTCTTCTGCTACATGATGCTCTAGGCAAGTTAAGACCCAGCTGAAGCAGGTCCGGATCAGCCAAGAAAAATATTTTCAATCCCACCTTCTCTATGCCACCATGCTTGCTTGAGAAATGTTCAAAAGCCTCAGCAAACCCCCTGTTCTCTTCTAGGCTCAGGAATGAACCTGTAGCTCCAGGGAGTTCCCATGATTCAGACCTAACGATGAGAGAGGCTAAGCCAGTCCCTGTGGCAGGAGCAGTCAGGTGCTCGGAGTTTTTGTAGTTACCAAGGGACACAGGGAGTTGCCCAGAAATCGAAGGCAACCAGGTGGAGGAGAGAGAAGAGAGGATGTTCCCTTTCTTGTTTAGTGGGAAGGAGGAGGGTTTGAGAAAGTGTTATTTATCAAAAATATCACATTCAGGGCACTTTCTGGCTCAGAAAACAGCTGCTCTAAGTCCCTCCTGAGACCGGTAGGATCAAGCCGGCTGCAAAACATGCAATTCATGTGGAACAACCCCAGGCTGGGAAACCTACTCTTTTTGGCACAAATCAAGAGCCAGATGGTTCCTGCCTGCCAGTGGTGGGAGACGAGGAAAGCATGGGTCAGTTCCTGAGCTATCTGGGTCATAACCACACCGGGGACTTAAAGAGCAGGGTTGCTATCTTGGGTTGGATTCTATATCCAAGGACCTCCACCAGGAGGGATCGGATGTCACCTCCTCCGTTCTAGAAGGTCAGAGTGACATGATGTGAGCTGCTCCCCCCTCCCCCGGCCCCCATGCCAGCTTCCACTTTCAAGTGGCCGCCTGCGCCAATCAAGAACTGGGGGGACCTTGAAATAAACTCTCCACAGTGAGGCCAGCACTGCCCTGCCAGCTGACCTTCTGAAGTGCACCGGAAACCTAACCTAACAGCATTCTGGAGTGTGCCCTTTGCAGATAAAAGTACAGATTACTGGCTGGTCCATTTCTTCAAACTGTTTTCTTTAACAGGGTTCCTTCTCATCTCTTCCAGGTTAATCCCAGGCAGCAATATTCTGACCCACGACCATCATGCCTCTTTACTTCAGCCCAATCACACACTTTTAATAAAGAGAAGCCATGGTAGTCAAGAGCCAAAGCAGTCTCAAGCTCTGAGAGGCAGTGTCTTCAGTATCTGCACCTCCTGCCGTGCCTAGCCTCAGACAAATAGCAGGCGCTCAACAACAAATTGTGTGCGTTTGTATACACATATACAACATGTAGGTGTTGCTTTATAATTTACAAAGCGCTTATTTCACCATCTCATTTAATTCTTACAACCATCTTATAAGGGATTGCTACTGCTCGCATTTTACACAGAAAACTTGGGCAGACAGAGGTCCAGTGACTTGTTCAAGTTCACATAGCAGAGCTGGGACTTAACTCCAGAACCCCAGATCTAAATTTTGCCCTTTTGCTCATTCCACACCCCTACGCTGCCTCAGTAAGGCATGCTCCCCGCTCCCAAGGCGCTTCACGTTCTCCCCAAAGTCAACAAGCTCAAAGCGAGAGGACATCAAGACTCCCAGGATGAGACCACACACCAGGGGATGACCCGTCCACTGAGCTTACAGGTCATTGTATTGTACCAAGAGGTATGAGGAAAACAAAAAAAATGGGACTAGACCTGCCACTGCTGTTCAGGCAGTTGCAGTGTGGCTCAGGCAGGGCCAGGAGAACCCAGCTGGGCTGGGGAAACTTCTTCATTTACTGTAGTGGTGAGGAGGCACTATATGTGTAGGCATGCTTTGCCAAGAGGGCAGGGTGGGGCGGTCCACACACCCCCTGCCAAGACTCTTTGCTCTACTGAGTTTCTTTTCACACTATGAATCACTGCATGGCAGGAAGGGCAGCTGACTTAGTGCCCTCTGCTGGTCCTGATTTCCCCATCATTGCCTAGAGCTGTCAACTAAGGGAGCCCATCAGATCAGCCGGTGGAGCCTGTCAAAGCAAGGATGCCTGCCCACCTAGGCCAGCTTTCTCAGACTCTCCCAGGGAGGGCTCAGACTTTTTTCAGAGCTCCTGGGGATATGTGATGCATAACTATACTCAGCGGCACAGGGAAAAGTCTACTCTAGGCAAAGCCCTGAACGTGTAGCAGTATGCAAAGGACCCTCAACTTTCCGCCCAGGCTCAGTTCTGTCACAAACTAGAAGCCACTGCCTGGTGCCTACTGCTTAATCTGGGTTTCAGTCTCCTCAAGTGGAAAACGAGGGGCTAAGAGTTACTCCAAGGAGTTAACATGTTTCTGCAAGAACACTGCAAACGCTTACTGAAGTTTTGCAGTATGCAAATTGTCAATATGCCACTCATTACATTGTAGCAGGATTTAGCAGTTTATATGCCTGCCTCACTCATTAGACTTTGAGCACCCCTGGGTCAGACTTGACAGCTAACTTTTCTTGGAATCCCTAGCGCCTAGCACAGAATGATGACTAATACGTGCTTGTTACTTGAATATTAGAAGCCCGCCTAGAAGCCATGAGGGTAGCCATGGAGTGCCATGGAGAGGTGAGGAGTGGGGGCTTGTTTTAAAGTTGATCCAAATATGCAGCGGCCACCGGAGAAAGACAGCTGCGTTAAAAGGAGGCTCCCAGACGGGGCGAAGCTGCCACTGAGGGGAATGAAGTCAGCGTCCTGGCAGGTTGGGGCCGCCCTCGCTAAACCCTTGACAGCTGCTGCCCAGCAACTGTTTGGGGGCAGGGTGACAGGCAAAGGGGCAGTTTCCCAGCCTCACGGCGCCCTCATGAAGGCCCAGCCTCCGGGAGACACGGTGTCAGCGGCAAGCTCTATTTTGAACAGTGCATCCCCTGCCAAGCCCTGCTGGGTGGCGTCGCTGGCAAGGGACCCGGGGCGGCCCATGGGTTCGGGGTACCCCAAAGAGCTCGGAGCGAAGCCGCAGGAAGCTGCGCCGTGGGGTGGGGGGTCGGAGACGACGTGCTCACCCCCTGCCTCGTCCTCCAGCCTGGCTGCTGCCGTGCCTCGGCCGGACCTCGGAGCAGCGCAAGCAACCCTCGGCTCCCGGGAAACGCGCGCCTCCCGTTACCTAGTAACGACGCCCCCAGTTGCATAGCAACGAGGATCCGGTCCCCAGTCGATTGTCCGACTGCGCGACGTCGGACCCCTCCCCAGTCGTGCTCGCTGGGCCTCGCGGCTCCGCCCCGGCCCCGCCTGCCGTGGCTGCCGCCTCCCCAGCCCCGTCTGCCCCCTTGCCCTGGTCTCGGCTCACACTCACCGGGCTCGGGCCACTGCTGCCCTTCACGTGCGACTTCGCTAAAACGCGCCACCAAACCCGCGCCTTAACTCCGGGGTGTTGGTTTTTCGTCTGCGCACGCGCAAGGCGGGAGGTGCCCTGGTGCCGGCCGCTCCCTCCAGGCCCAAACCCAGAGCCGTGTACGCATGCGCTCTACCCTCAATGTTGTTTTTATCCTTTCCTAGCGGGAGAAGAGTGGGATCGGAACTTCGAGCTGGGAATGGAAGTCTCTGGCGGGAAAGGGAAAATAAGTGACTATACCTGGGCTGTAGAGTGGGTAAACCGGGTCTTTGAATTGGGAGTCGAAGCCTCTCCAGCCTCTCGGCATTTCGGGCAATGTAGTTCTCGAGACCTGTAATGCCTCCTAGGTATTGTTCTAAAGAAGGGGCGCCCGAGAGCCCCTGGTGTTGGGAGAAACTTTTCGCGCGCTAAAAAGGCACAAAGGGAAAAGGTGTCTGAGGAGCAGTTAGAGGCACACAATGCTGGGGAAATGCATTTGCTCCCTCCGAGAGCAATTCCACCCCCAAACTCTCGAGATGGCTCCCAAAATGTTTATTTAATTTTAGGCAAGGAAAGGAACAAATTCCCAGACCCGATCTCTTAAAAAAAAAAAAAAAAGCAGCATTGTAAGGGGGAGAGGCCAAGGATTTGAAAGGAGGCGATCCCTGGCCGGCTTTGTGATTCCAGGCAGGTTGCTTCATGTCTCTGAGCCTCAGTCGTTTCCGCATTACTATCAAATAGATAAGGTCCTAAAAATACCATTTCACAGTAGGTGTGGAGATTCACTGAAGTAACAGAAAGAAGACTTTTAAAAAACATCCAAGCTGCTGTCCAAATGTTTTGATCACATTGGCTGCCATTGGAAAGCTCTCCTTTGTTGTTACAACAGTTCTGAAAACACTCTAAAATGGAACTCTTTTTTCCCCCCTCTACCTGAATCAGCCTTCTAATTCTGCTTTCTTCCCAGAAGACACAGTTGAGTAGAGACTACTCCATCACCTCTTCCAGTTGTTTCTTTAGACGTTTCTTAGTGCATCTTTCATCCATCTTCCTCTGTCTGGACATTCATCACTTGTGTCTCAGCTAAAGGTCTCTGTCTTCCCCAGCTGGCTCTGGTAGCATCCTGGGCCTCACCTTTGTAACAGTTGCAACTTTACAGCTGCTTTTGAGATTGTTTCTGATTTGTAGGACTACCACCAATCTCAGGTCACAAGCTTTCCTGTGCAAGAAATGTAACCCCCACCCCACCCCCGCCATGACTAGTTTATTTCTTTTCAACTCTGTTTTCTATCTGAGTGGTGGAAACAATCTCAGACAGTTCAGGGTTCTTCCCTCCCTTGATTTTCAGGTTATACAGACCTTTTGGAAAATTAACATGGACATGGGGGTAGGGACTGGGGGAGGGGGGAGGGATTCATCTAATCCTAAATTTTTGAGCTGCATTGTCCTGCCCAAACCTCTGTCATGTCAAATGAACTGAAAAAGAGTCTGGAGGCTTTGTTAGAAGTAAATGATAAAAATTAATTCAAGGGTTTTAGAGTTTGCAAACTGGTAATGCAGCTAGGCAACAAAACAAAACAAAACAAAACAAAACAGACATGTTCCAAAGAAGAAACAAAAGTCAAGAGTTCATATTGTTAAAAGAACATTTTTGAGAATTATCAGTCCTGCATTCTTAGCCCTAGGACTGGTCCAGGGCAGTTATCAGTCAGATGTCAGGCAGTCTGGATGATGGAAGCCAGGTGGTCCAGGAGGTGGGCACCAGAAGGTCTGGTCATGTCAGTGGTCTGGATATGCAAGTTCTTTAAGGGGTAATCAGAATTATCTGGAGGTCTGGTATATGTCTAGATGCGTATCAAGGCATTGATGCAGGACTGGAAATTTCAAAAAGTTTCAGTTCCCTGGCTAATTAGAACAAGAATGGAGTCTTTCCTCATGCCTCAACCTTCATATGTTAATCATTTTAGCAGCTTGGTTAAAATGACTCCATTTTATATATTCCCGCTCTTCACTCTTTTCCTCAGTCATTTGTCCACACACATCTACCTGGGAAATGGAGCTTCTTTGGGGTTATTGGCCAATGTGTTCTCTTGCTTTCCAAGCAGCAGCAGCCTTGGCCCAGGGGAGCGGGGCACAGAATTTCTTTCTCAGGGATCCATCAACAATATATACCTACGCATATATACCTTTCTTCCTACGTCTCCCTTCCCAGCCTAGGGAATCTTTATCTCCTCTGCGGGAAGGTTGAGATTGAGGGAAGTAGGGAGGACTCTGAGATCCAGTTCTTACCTGTAATATTTACTCCAAAATCAATTGCCCTGAATCCTTTCTACCCCCTGAGGGGCTGGCTTTTAAAACACAAAAGCCTTGAAAGAATTCCCCTTTTCCTCCATCTTTCTGTCACAGCCATAAGCTCCCCAGTATAGGGACACCTCTGGTTTTGCTCACAGTGGTAGCCCCAATGCCCAGTATAGTGCCTGACTGGCACACAGTGGGTCCTCAGTTAAAATCTATCCAATAAATGAATTACTGGGTCTCTTGCCCTCCAGGCTCTCTCCCCTTCCAACTCATCCAGTAATATCTTCCAGAGGAATCTTCTGGAAGTGTGGTTATCACTCTATAGCTCAGTGGCTGTTCTTCTGCCAGCCCAATCAAGTCTAACCACCTCTGGCTCAAGGCCCCACCCACACAGATCCATTTTGTTTCTTACCACAGCCAAGAACTTAAGATGCCTGGCCTGTCAGGCAATCTGTCATTCAACCAACAACAGTTATGAAGTTCCTGCTAAATGTCAGGCACTGTGTTATACTCTGAGAAACAACAGCGACCAGAAAGAAGAACTATGGCTCCTGCCATCAAGGAGTTTACAGTCTAGCGGGGAACCCAGACATCAAACAGATCCTTGTAAATAATTAAGTGATTATAGTTATCCAGAGTGGCTCAAAGGAAAAGTACGGAGTACCGTGGGCACTAAACTTCAGTTAGGGGTCAAGAAAAAGGTTCCAGAGGAAGCACCACTTAAGGTGAGGTTGAAGTTTATTTTGGAGTGAATGGGAGAGGAGGACAAGAACGGAGGGACTTGAGGAAAGCGCTCCAGGTGAAAATACTGGAATCAGCCAGACTGGGTAAGTCTGAGGACTTGAAAGACCAGGGTGGCTGGAGAGAAGACGGGGTGAGACTATGGAGGTCAGCATGAGCTAAATGGTGCAGGACTTGGGGGCAAGTTTCCTCTGCCAGAAACGCTGCCCCTCATTCAGGTCTCAACAAAAAATGTCACCTCCTCAGAGATGCCCTCCCTGAATACCCTACTTAAAAGTAGCCTATTCCTCTGATCCACAGCACCTCCTATCTACTTTATTCTGATGTGTGTTATTCTTAGCACTTACCACGCTCTGGAATTTCTTTATGTGTTGATTGTGTATGTGTCTATGGCTCCTCCCCCCCACCCACCCCCTGCAATAAAATGTAAGCTCCAAGGGAGCCGAAACCTTGTCTTTCTTGTTCACCATTTGTATCTCCAGTTATCAGGTAGAAGGTACCCAATCAATATTTGTTGAATGAATGAAAAGCTTGGAGAGAATAGCGGGAACAGATTTTTCATTGAAAGTAGATCACTGGCTGTTCTGTGGAAAACAGATTAGAAGGAGGCCAGGCTGAAAACAGGACCAATTAGGATGCTATTTTATTGATGCAGTAGTTTGGCTTGGCTTTCGGGATAATGATAACAAACATGAATATTTATTTTTTACTTACTATGTGCCAGGCTTAGTTCAAATCACTTTTTAAATATCAGCTCCTAGCAATAACCCTATGGGTTAGTTCAATCCTTGTTATCACTGCCCTATTTTACAGATGAGGAAATTAAGGCAGAGAAGTTCACACCCATTACTAGCTGGGTGGAGCTGGGATTAGAGCACACAATCTGACTTCATGCTCTTGGCCACTATGCCATAATACCCTTCATACCTGCAACTTTTATTCTTCTCTCAAAGCCTTTGCTTGTGCTGTTCCTCCTTTTAGGACTTTCCTTCTCTTCTATCTGAATATTGCCCATCTGTTAAAGTCTAGCTCAGTCACACCTCTTCAGCGAAGAAGACTTCACCGCCCATACCTGTATGCCCTGCTGGTTGGTCTGGATCCTTTATAGCCCACAACACATGTTCTGTACCTGACTTCTGGGAGTATTTTACAGATATCCACAAAGAATCCTACACCATCTGAGTTGGAAGGGATCTAGAAGTCATGTAGGAAAGGGGAGGAGAAGCTGATGATTTGCCCAAGATCGCCGAGCAAATTGGTAATAGAGGCAGGACGAGAACGGTTTCTTGTACAGTGTTTGTTTCTCCAACTCACCTGCATTTGCGCTTTCTTCACCGGGTCACCTAGCAATGTCTTTAAATTCTCACTGCATTATGGGAAATGTAGTTTCGGATCTCTTTCCCACCGCACCCCTCCCACCGCCCCCGGCAGCGCTTAACGGAAGGAGCCGAGTCGTTCCGGAAGTAGCCGAGCGTCTCCTGGCGGGCCCTTTCCTGCCCGGTTGCATTCTGGGAAAGGACAATTTCCGTTAGGTGCGGGAGGCTGAGGCGCGCGACCCGCTGCAGCTCCACGTGAAGGGCTACGTGAACATCGCTGGACTGGGGCAGCTCCCCGCTCGCCGCGGAGCTTCCCGGAAGCAGCGGGGAACCGGAAGTGGCCCGCGGCGGCTCAGAAGCTAATACCCGAGCCCTGTGTGTGGTGTCGGAGCGTGCAGCGACGGCGCCATGTCTCTGATCTGCTCTAGTGAGTATTGGCTGCGGCCGATCTCGGGTTGCAGGAGGCCGGAGGGCCGAGCGGGAGGATATGCGAGCCTCTCAGGCGCCGGGGTAGGGGCGGAGGTGAAAACGGGGCTCCCAGGAAGGCAGGGCAGCAGCCTGTCAGCTCGGGGGGTCGGGGTGGGGGGTCCTCCTCCGTAGCGTGGGGTGCATTTGCGCAGCGCTTCACAGTTTACGTAACGCCTCAGGTTTATTGTCGCAGGCATTACTGAGCTTAACCACCCAGTTTACGCAGTGGAAACTGAGGCCTGGACAGAGGGAGCCTGGTGCAAGGGAGCCAGCTCTGGTGTAGGAATCAGG